GGACCTAAAAGATCATCTCTAGGCTATCGAGTGACATAACTGCCTTGTGTTCTTCAGCCAGATATCAAACCCTGCTCCATGACATGGCTACAGTGGATATGGGGGCTCCAGACTGGAGTGGGTGGAGAGTATGAATCTGGGGGAGCTGTTTCTAGATCTAATTTAATCTGGAGTCACATTGTCTCCAGGAGGGAACCCATTCTAGAACAGATTCGATTCCCAACGGATCCACCTCAGACCGATTTTAATGCCTGGTCTCAACGACCAAATTCTAGGCAAGAGTGAACGTACAAACACACCCCATGGCATTCATTAAGTCAGAATTCTGGAAAAGGTGAAACTGTCTTTCAGGCTTAATTTATTTCTGCAACTTGTTTTGTTTGATTACAACATACGTTTAGAAGATGCTTGCCCTTCACTTTCCAGTCTCCTTTTAGCCTTTGTCAGTAACCTTGCAGGCTCTCCACAGGTGGTTCCATTTGTAATCCATTTGACACAGCAAGACTATCATAATTAATGAAGTTCCCTACAGCACTGCCAGTGACCCAGAATGTAGGACAGGAGAGGCACTGAAGCAGTGGAAAGAACAGTGGGCTGAGAGCCAGGAGACCTGGACGTGGTCAGGAGCCTGCTGTGGCGCTGCCATAGAAGGAGGACAACTCTTTTCTTCTGTGCCTCTCTGTGTCTCCAGCCTTAAACTGGAAGGGTGGGAAAGAAAAGGCACTGTCTAAAAGGAGGCCATAATCACTAACCATTAAAATTCCTGCTCTTGGCTACCTTCCTTTATTTGTCACTGAAAATCACTTTATGACAAACTGTTGTCAAGGTTTGATTGTGGTATGGAAGAGGGGGGAAGATACGACTGAATCTTTAAATGTGAAAATAAACATGGAAGTTTCTGAGGTGAAGACTAGGGAGGAGCCAGGAGAACACAGGCATCTGAGCCCTTCCGGGGGAGGTTCCCCAGTGTCTGCCTGGCAGGATCTTCACATGGTCAGGTTGAGGTAGGAACAAAGGAAATCAGGCGTGGTATTGTTCCCCCTTTTTTTCTCTCTGCTTCAAACACACATGTAAATGGAATAAAAAGAGAAAAGAAATAAGCCAGAAAAAAACCAGATGGCTTTCTATAATGGTTTTCATCCAGTTACAAAGATGTTTTGACAATAAGGTCCTAGAGAAAAGAACTGGAATATATTTTTCCACATTTCACCCCACACTGTTTCTTGGATATGTTCACCTACACCCATAGAATAAACAGATCAGCTGCAAAAGAATTCCAGGAAGGTCATGGGAAAGCTCCTATGGTCTAGCTTGGTATACAGAGTCAGACAGAAGAATCTGGCTGATTTGTTCATTAAAATGGTGCTATATGCATCTGCTAAAAAATGTTCCCAGAGGGACCCAAGAGACTTGCTCTCCTTCCCTCAGGCTTTATCAGACCCTCTGGTTCAGACTCACAACCCCCTGTCTCCACTGGTCACCTTCTAGTGACATCATGCTATGATCCCCATGAAACCCGTAAAGAACGGAGATCTGGCATCTCATGCCGAGGGTCCCATTTTTCCCCTAAGCGAAGAAACCTGAATTTACCTGAATCGAAGCCTTCACCTCAATTTTTTATTATTTTTATTCAAAATCCTACTGCATCATTCCCTCCTAACAGGTCCTTGAATCTCCTAGCTTTTTCCTTTTCATGCTCTACACAGATTTAGCGCCCTTTTCACTCATGTTTTTACTCACAGTATCAATCATTTATTATTATTATTACATTTTGAAAATGTATTTAAAATTCTACTTTTTCCTGTTTATAAAAGAATACAAAGTCACACAAAATATTTCTACTCTTTATGATTATAAAAATGTCCCAAGTAAATAAGCGGAAATTTCTGTTTTTCCATTAATGCATACTTCAGGAGCCGTTGGATGTATTTTCATGAAATGTGGAGGGGACGTTTTGGATGGTTTGCTTTACACTAGAAAGTACAGGGCACACATGCCATTCACTCTGCGCGCCCTGGCAGGCGTTCTCCTGGGCAGGTGATGGTGAGGTACAGAGAGGGGCTCCATGCTGCCCCTGGGGGACTTGCAAAACATATAAAGAAACTGAGAACAGCTTCAGACATGAATTCCAACTCAAAGTCCCAGGGACCAATGTTCTGTACTGCGGGCTCCAGATCAACGAGAGGAAGCTGGGGCTGTTCTGTTGGATGATGACGGGGCATTCTCCTAGGCTGGGCTGGCTGGGCTGGCTGGTAAAGAATACCAGTACCAGCAACAGTCATCACAACAAAGCATCTGTCCAGGTCGGGAGCAGACACAAGACCCGCGGTGCTTCATTTAAGCCCCAACAGCCCCCTGGAGTAAGTAATGCTCTTATCTCCTTTTCAGGGATGAGGAAATTGACAGCGTTGGATGTTAAACAGATTATTCCAGGGCACAACGTTGCTAAGTGGCAGAGCCAGCATTTGAACTCAAGGATCGGCCTTCATCTAAAGGCCCGGGTCCCCACCACCATGCGCATTTCTAGCAACAATCTTCCAGGCTGTGGCGGGAGGGCTCACTCCTCACTACACCCTATCTGCTTCCGGAAATCACTGCAAGGTCTCCACAGCACTACGCCCAGGGCGCAAGCCCATTAGTCTGATCCCAGGCCCTGCAGGGGTGCGTCCAGGTAGCTGACTGACGCTCCACACCCCTGCGTCTTATCTTCTGACACCCTGCCTCCATCCCATGCCGCTCAGGCCACACTACTCGGCCTCTTCATCTGGCGTTCTCACTTCCACCTCTCCACCTTCTGCCACGCCGCTCCCCGAGCCAACAGGCTCTCCAGCTCTGCTGCCAAATCCTGTCAGAGCCAGGCAGCACCCTGTCCTCCCTCTGCTTTGCTCAGTGGAAAGCAGAGTTTCTTTCTTACTCTAAAAACCCTTTCCCCACCCTCTACGTAGCACTGTCTGAAGCGGACGCTTCCCGGCAGGCGCTCAGGCCACGCATGCTCAGTGACAGTGCCGACGACGGTCCTTCGTATAGATCATCAGCCCCCGGGGCTGCAAAGCTGGGCGCAGATCTAACAAACATCTATTGTGTATGCCCGGTGTCGTTCTGCTATGTTCTAGGCATTGCTCTAGGTACAGAAGATACAGTAATAGTTAACAGAAACATGTAGAGGCCCTTCCCTCGTGGAAGTTACAATCTAGTGAAAATACCTTCTCCATTTCTGTGTTACGGTGTATATTCCCACGGGATAGCTCTGGAGACAGACTGTCTGGGATCACATCCCAACCTTTCTACTTAACAGTTCTGTGTGACCTTGGCTGAGTTAACTCTCTTTGCCTCAGTTTCCTGTCAGTTGGGAAACATTAATAGCATTTCCCTCAAAGACCTTACGAGAATTAAATAAGTTAACAGAGTTAATACATGAGAAGTATTTAGGATAGTGGTTTGTGATATTGTGACTTATAATAAGGCATGTCTTTGGTTTTCCACTTCACTCCTGGCTCAAAGCTCCTAAAACCCTTGGAATTTCCTAAGGGATGATAGCAAGAAAGGTGTCTTTTGTTATGTTAATGAGGTTACTTTCAAAAACCGCCTAAGGATGGGGGCTGGTTGCTAGGAGAACCAAAAGTGTGATTAGAGGGTTGGAACTTTTAAGTCCCAAACCCAACCTCCGGGGAAGGGAGATGAACTGAAGATTGAGTTCATCACCAACGGCCTGTGATTTAATCAGTCGCACCTGTGTAATGAAGCCTCCATAAAAACCAACAAAGGACAGGTTCGGAGAGCTTCCGGGTTGGTGAACAAGTAGAGACCTGCGAAGCGGGCTGCGCTGGGGGAGGGATGGAATCGGCTTGCCCTTCCCCATACGCTATGCTTGCATCTGACATCTGGCTGTTCCTGAGTTATATCCTTTTGTGATAACTGGTGATCTAGTAAAGTAGAATATTTCTCTGAGTTCTATGATCCGCTCTAGCAAATTAACCGAAGCCATGGAGGGGCTCCTTGGAACTTCCAACCTGTACATCTCAAGCGGTGGGGGAAGGCAGTCTTGTAGCCCTTAAGTTAGGGGATCTGCTGCCCTCCAGGTCATCTCAGAATGCAGATGAATTGCAGGACACCGTGCTGGTGTCCACGAATTGCTTGGTGGTGTGGAAAAGCGCTCTCACACATTGGAATTGGGTGCAGAATCACAGCGACCCACTGTAAGGTCTCAATATGTGTTAATTATTATTACTTCTTTTAGATAACTAAACATCAAGGTGGCAGAAGTCTTTCTTTGGAAATTTCTTTTTTTTTTTTTTTAAAGATTTTATTTATTTATTGAGAGAAAGAGTGCCCTGCAGGGAGGGTGAGGGGCAGAGGGAGAGAGAATTTCAAGCTGACTCCACCCTGAGCACGGAGCCTGAGCAGGGCTCCATCTGACTGACTGTGAAATCATGACCTGAGCCAAAATCAAGAGTCGATCCTGTAATGGACTGAGCCACCTAGGTGCCCTCCCTTTGGAAATTTCTTAAGTGTCCTCCTCTAGGCTGTAAACGTGTTTTTTTTTTTTTAAATTTAAATTCAACTAATTAACATATAATGTATTATTGGTTTCAGAGGTAGAGGTTAGTGATTCCTCAGTCTTAAATAATACCCAGTGCTTATTACATCAAGTGCCCTCCTTAATGTCCAACTTCTTAAAGGCAAGGGCCAAGTCTTCAGTTGTTTTGTGTTTGCCACACCTCGTTTAGTGCTTTCCACTGCTTGTTAATGAATATGTGCTCTTGACTGACAGGGCCAGTGGAAGAGGCCTCTGAGGGTCAGAGTGTACCTCAGCCCGCCTCAGAGCACAACTGTGTTTGCCTGCGGAGCTCCATTTTCATTATTGTATCTTCTTGAAGAGAGAGGAATGTATATTCAGTGCCTTCTATTGTTTGTGTAAAACAAATTTGTAATTTCTTAAGAAACAAGTCCCAAGGTTATCATGTTAAAAACATCCTCTTCCTCAAAATGACAAGACTTACCTTGATTTTTCAATGGTAAAGGCATAGTTTCCCTGAGTTTGCTTAAAAGGTTTTTCATTTCTCGCATGTCTCTGTAAAAGTGATAAAAAGAAAAAAAAATCAGCTGTAAATTTTTGAAATGCAATCCCAGTCTCTTCTATGAGACAATTGAGAAACGAGAGTCTGTGCTTAATTGTACTAGCTTTAGTTTCCAGTAGGCAAATGTTGAATTTTTTTTTTAAGATTTTATTTATTTATTTGACAGAGAGAGACACAGTGAGACACAAGCAGGGGGAGTGGGAGAGGGAGAAGCAGGTTTCCTGCCGAGCAGGAGCCCGATGCAGGGCTCGATCCCAGGACCCTGGGATTATGACCTGAGCCGAAGGCAGATGCTTAACGACTGAGCCACCCAGGTACCCCGGCAAATGTTGAATTTATTTTGCTTTTATAAGAAAAAAAATCTGAGACTGATGGTTTTGGAAGGAATGAGAACTACTCTGGCAAATATTTCCACAGGACATTCTGCTGTAGGAGACTTCTTCTCTGCCTTCGGTTGGACCTGGCTGAGATCAGAGAAGAGTCTCTGATAACAAGGCCAGTATCGCAGATTTCTAAGAGGGAGGTCAAGGACATGCAAGTAGTGTAACAGGGGTACTTTGGGCAAAGCTGAGGCTGGGTGATGTTGCTCTCAGGCTTTAAGGTCAGATGGCTGTTGTGGTTGTAGTGGTCCACTGGCTATTGTCTCATTACTGTGATTGAAATTCAGTGTAACATAGCTGTTAAGGATTCACAAGGTTCAGCATTGATTGAAGTGACTTAGAATAATGGGAAACTGAGGAATTCTAAAATCTTCAGAGAAGAGCTCTTCACGGTGGGGAGGGGGGCGTGGAGAGGGAGAAGGAGGGAGAGAAAAGCACCTGGGACAGATGGACAAATGGACCTTCCTCTAGCCCCTCCCGTGCAGGTAAGCCACTGCATCCCTCCAACATCTCTGCTCTCTCATCTTGGAATATATGTGATCCTAAAACCACCCAACTGTGGAGCAGGAAGCCATAACAGGGGGCTTCTAGTTTGGGATAGGGATCCGTTGGACTTTTCAAATCCTTGGGGCAGTAGTTCTCCACATGTTCTGGTGGTCATCCCCTGGACTTAGTACTCTTGAAATCACAGGATGTAGTGGTCGATTTCATTTATAAGAGCAAAAATCAGATACATCTTTTAGTTAGCTCTAGAATAGGCAAGCAATAGCAGCAGGTACTAAGGATTTAATAAAGTTTTGGGGGGAGGATAATCTGAAAGTTGAGGAAATTCTATCTACTAACTTATTTTTCTTTTGCTATATGAAGAAGAATCACCATTTAATTTTAGGTATGAAATCCCTCAGTTCCTTTCTTTTTTTATTTTAAGTAGGCTCCACACCCAATGTGGGGCTTGAACTCACAACCCTGAGATTAAGAGTTGCATGCTGTACCAACTGAGCCAACCAGGTGCCCCTGTGTATTTCTTGATACACAACTGTTCTCTTGAGTATGGTTTGAGGACTACTTGTTCTGGGGGAGGCCAGAGACCCCATAGGGTCTCTCCTTAAGTATTGGCTAACATGTAGGGCGCCTGGGTGGCTCAGTTGGTTAAGCGACTGCCTTCGGCTCAGGTCATGATCCTGGAGTCCCGGGATCGAGGCCCGCATCGGGCTCCCTGCTCAGCGGGGAGTCTGCTTCTCCCTCTGACCCTCTCCCCTCTCGTGCTCTCTATCTCTCATTCTCTCTCTCTCAAATAAATAAATAAAATCTTTAAAAAAAAAAAAGTATTGGCTAACATGTAAAAAGGAACTCTTTCCCAGGAATAGCTGATTGGAAAAGGAGAAGAAAGCAGCCTTGTGGATCAGGTGTAGAAATAAATCCATAAAAACAATCGAAATTCTTTTCCGTAAGTATGAGGATATGTCTGTGGGGCACCGATGCTGACAAGCCCCAAAGGGTGTTTCTAGAGAGAAAAGGTAAAAGTGGGGGATTGGGAAAAAGAAGGGCAGGGCCCTTACATCCAGAAGTGCAAGGGGCACACACATTCTGATTTCCTGTAAAATTCTCAAGGGCGGATGCGATGGGAGGTGGACGGGCACACGGTGGGAACGGGTCAGGAATGCAGCATGTGAGACTGAGGCAAGGTCTCTCTAGAAAGCACCAGTTCCCAGGTGTGGTGCTGCACAGGAGATTCACCATGTTCCAAGACCCCACCCCATGAGAGCCTGATACAGCTGGTTTCTGGGGATGGGGCTCAGGAATCAGTGTTTTTAAAAAGCCCTTCTGGTGATTTTAATGTGCAGTCCAGTGTGAGACGCACTGATCTTTTAGGGCAGAGAGAGGGAGAACTTAGGAACCTGCCTTACCAGACCAGGTCTCTTGTGCCGACTTGTCTCAGTCATTCCCACCTCCTTTGACCTGAATCTGGACTTTAAGGCTGAACTTCAAAATTGTGGGCTATACTCTCCCTTTTTTTTTTAATTGAGGTAAAATTGGTATATAACATTATTTAAACTTCAAGTGTGCAACATTATAAGTTTCCATCTGTATGTACTACAAAGTGGTCACCACTACTGATGCATCACGCTATAACTGACCCCCTTCAACCATTTGACCCACCTCCATCCCCCCCACCCTTCCCCTCTGTAATCATCTATCTGTTCTCTTGCATCTATAAGTTTGTTTTTGTTTTGTTTTCCTTTATAGATTCCAGATATGAGTGGGATCATATGGTATTTGTTTTTCTCTGTGTGACTTATTTCACTTAGCATAATAACTTCACGGTCTATCCATGTCGTTGCAAATAGCAAGCTGAGTAGATGCCATTATAGCGCGTGTGCGGACGCGCGCGCGCGCGCGCACACACACACACACACACACACACACACACTGCATCTTCTTTTTCCATTCATTCATTTATGAACATTTAGGTTGTTTCAATTTCTTGGTTATTGTAAATAATACAGCAATGAACAGAGGGGTGCATATATCGTTTTGAATCAGCATTTTTGTTTTCTTTGGATAAATACCTAGAAGTGGAATAGCTGGATCATATGGGAGTCCTATTCTTATTTTTTTGAGAAATATCCATACTGTTTTCCATAGTGGTTGTGCCAGTTTACATTCTCGTCAATTGGATATGAGAGATCCATTTTTCCCACATCCTCCTCAGTGTTTGTTATTTCTTGTCTTTTTGGTACTAGCTCTTCTAACAGGTGGGAGGTGATAACTTCATTGTGGTTTTGATTTGCATTTTCCTGATGACTAGTGATGTTGAACATCTTTCTATGCGCCTGTGGGCCATCTATATGTCTTTTGTGAAAAAATGTCTATTCAGATCCTCTGACCATTTTTTAATTGGACTGTTTCTTTTTGTTGTTGTTGTATGAGTTCTTTATATATTTTGGATCTTAATCCTTTGTTGGATATATGATTTGCAAAAATCTCCCATTCAGTAGATCACATTTTTGTTTTGATGACCTTTTCTTTCGTTATGCAAAAGATTTTCAGTTTGATGTAATCCCATTTGTTTATTTTTGCTTCTGTTTCCCTTGCCTTTGGAATCAGATGCACAAAAAAAATACCACTAAAACTCATGTTGAGGGGCTTACTGCGTATGTTTTCTTTTAGGAATTTTATGGTTTCAGATCTTACATTCAGGTTTTTAATCCATTTTGAGTTAATTTTTGAAGATTAACTGGAATTTTGATAAGGATCACACTGAATCTGTAGATTGCTTTGGGTAGTATGGACATTTTAACCTTGTTCTTCCAATCCATGATCATGGAATATTTTTTTCCATTTATTTATGTCTTCATTTTCTTTCATCAGTGTCTTACGGTTTTCAGTGTGTAGGTCTTTCACGTTGGTTAAATTTATTCCTGGATTTTTGATGCAATTTAAATGGAATTATTTTCTTAATTTCTCTTTCTGATAATTTGTCATTAGTATATACAAATACCACAGATTTCTGTGTGTTGATTTTTGTATCCTGGTACTTTACTGACTTCATTTATTAGTTCTAACCGTTTTTTTTTGTTGGAGTGTCTTAGGTTTTCTAAGTATAGTATCACGTCATCTGCAGGTAGAGACAGTTTTGCTTCTTCCTTAATCATTTATATGTCTTTTATTTATTTTTCTTGCCTAATTATCTTGGTTGGGATGTTCAATACTATATTGAATAAAAGTGGTAAGTGGCCATTTTTGTCTTATTCCTGATTTTAGAGGAAAAACTTTCAGCTACTCACCATTGACTGTGATGTTAGCTGTGGGTTTGTCATATATGGCCTTTATTATGTTGAGATATGTTCCCTCTATGCCCACTTGGTTGAGTTTTTATTAAAAATGGTGTTGGATTGTGTCAAATGCTTTTTCTTTTTTTTTTTTTAAGATTTATTTATTTATTTATTTGAAAGAGAGAGAGAATGAGAGAGAGAGAGAGAGAGAGAGCACACGAGATGGGGGAGGGTCAGAGGGAGAAGCAGACTCCCTGCCGAGCAGGGAGCCCGATGTGGGACTCGATCCTGGGACTCCAGGATCATGACCTGAGCTGAAGGCAGTCGTTTAACCAACTGAGCCACCCAGGCGCCCTCAAATGCTTTTTCTGCAGCTATTGAGATGATTCATTTTGTTAATGTGGTGTGTCACATTGATTGATTTGCAGATGTTGAACCATCTTTGTATCCTTGGAATCAGTCACACTTGATCATGGTATATGGTCCTTTTATTTTATTGTATCCAGTTTGCTAATATTTTGTTGAGAATTTCTACATTAACGTTCATTAATGATATTGACCTACAATTTTCTTTTTTTGTGATGTTCTTCTCTGATTTTGGTATCAGGGTCATACTAGCCTCATAAAATGACTTTGGAAGTGTTTCCTTCTCTTTAATTTTTTGGAAGATTTGGGAAGGATAGGTATTAAATCTTTGAATGTTTACTAGAATTCACTTGTGAATCTGTCTGTTCCTGGACTTGTGTTTGTTGGGAAGTTTTTGATTACTGATTCAATCTCCTTACCAGTAATCAGTGTGTTCAGATTTTCTATTTCTTCGTGATATCAGTCTTGGAA